GAGAGAGAGAGGTTGGAGGGTTGCGGAGAAGGTGGCGGTCGTACGTCAGAGAGAGAAAGAGAGAGAAAGAGTGAGAGAGAAGGAAGGTTTCGAACGGATCGGCGCTGACCTCCTCTCTCGCCCCTATCCCCCCCTCTTTCGCTCGCCTCTCCTTCATCGTGGCCACCGAAGAGGATCAATACGGACCACGTGGTGTGTAGCGGCAACGCCACAGAGAAACGGCCGACCTAAACCCTCGTGCATGCAACAACCTGAACCGACACTACCGATATATATATATATATACAATACCGTCGCATTTTTCCTTCCCATTTTTTTCACCCGACGTCACTTTCGACGATTTCTTTCTAAAAGGGAAATTTTGGTTTTCCACTTTAAAGTAGGAAAGTAGCGGGGAATGGTTTCGAATCATCTCACGTTTACGCTTTTTCCTTGTCAGTTGATTTTAACGTAACGTCGACACGATTGGAATCCACCGGGGAGCGAGTGGGATAGATTCGCTCGAATTATTTAATTTAGAACGCGTCGAATTCGATTCGGCCCAATATCTTGAGACGATATCTAGCCGGATATCCGTCGCCTCGTTTGGATAATTTTCCGAACGCGTTCCGTTTTCGATCGGTTCGGTGAGTGGAGAAGCGTGTATTTTCTAATAAAACGGTTTCGAACGGAGTCGAGCGGCGGATCCTATTTTTGGTCAGCTATCGATCGCGTTACCCTATTCGTGCACCCGATTCACCTTAAAACCCCACGTCAGTTTGCCGGCCAGGGAACGGCCTTTATCTTTCTGGGACACCGAGTCATCGGCGCACAGAAGCACCGATCTGCATCGATGATCTTATGACCTCGAACGAACCATAATCGGGGGGGGGGGACCTCGTCTTGAATTTCGTAGACGAACCGATCCGATCCGGCTTTCGAGATTCCACCGACCACTTTATTCCTCGAACGTGCCAACATTCGCCCCCGTCGTCGTCGTCGTCGTCGTCGTCTAAATAAAGAAACGAACCTGTCTCTGTTTATAAATAAAATTCTAACCAGAAATAACGAGTGTGTAGGTGACGGTGTGAACGGAATGCAACGCGGATGTTGAAGAGGAGGAGGAGAGGGATGGGAGGGAGAAAAGTTGTTTCGAGCGATAAAAATCTAGAAATGGTAACGGTAAATAAAACGATATATTGCCGCGGAGATAAGATCGAATTAGTTACGAGCGTCGCGCAATTTTTTCCTCTCTCCAAGCACAAAGTAAAGACAAAGAGGGGAAAAAAAGAAAAACTTGGAATCCTCCATCTTAGTCACAATACACTGTCGCGCACATACAGCGATATTTCCGTTCCGAGAATAAAATAAAATAAAAAGGGAACGATTTCGCGTGTGAGAATCATCATCTTTGTCGTCGTCAATTTTATCCACCCTTCGGATCTTTTGCTTGTAAAAAGCACGAAAAGACGAAGCGAAACCTTCGACAAAATGATAGAAAAAGAAAAAAAAAAAGAAAGAAAAGGAAGAAAAACGTCTTGGACGCAACACTGCGCGTTCGTTAAAACACTCGAAACAGCACAACGAGTTATGCGCCTTAGTCATCTCTCCCTCTGGTCTAACACGGGGCGGAGGAAGAAGAGCACAAACACGAGGAGAAGAGAAAGAGGGTGCTAAAGCCTACCCTTGTAGATCGCTTTGAAGGAGGGTTGCTATTACGGATGGTTTCATACATTGCACACCCCTGACTTCGAGTCTAGGTCGGTCATTCACCCCGGCGCAACCCCTACTCCCACCCCTCCACCACCATCCCCGCTCCCTCCCCGCATTTCCACCCCTCGGTGACGTCATTCCAAACCCTCCCTCCCTCCCTCGATATGTATAGTGTGTGCGTGTGCATCATGGGAAACGCTCGTTCCAAGGGGGGGTTGGACGAGGAGAGGGAACAGTGGCGTAGGACGAGGGGATGCCAATTTAAAAAATTCAACCGTCGATGGGAGGAAGAGAGGGAGGGGGGGGGAATGGAGGAGGCGAGGAATAATATATGATGAGTCGTTGCGTTACGCGACAACGATCGAGGCGTTTAATAAAATTGTGGTGGCTTTCGAGAGCGGAGAATTCGTCGAAGAGAGGCGCGAAATTCGAGATTTCTTTGTCGTTCGTTCGACGAACTCTTTTCCAAAGATTCGTTGGATTTTCATTCTCGACGAAGGGAGAGGAGGAAGGAATTTTCCGACATTTTCGACGGATCGAAGTTGATACGTTCACGTGATCTGTTCGACGCGTGAAAGGATCCGAAATTTCACTTCGCTGCTCCTAAAATAATAATCGACTTGCATTTCGACTTTCGATTTCTTAATTGCCGGGCAGTAAATCTCGCTTACTACCTGTTTACTACTACCTTACTTATCGAGCTGAACCACTCAGTGAGGAAACGCGTGTCCAGAGAGATACGCGTTATTTCTTTTCCTTTTTTTTCTTTTTTTTTTTCGTCTCGATTATCATACGATCAACCCACCGGATTCCCCGGTTTCCAGTTTTCTCGTCCAATACCCTTATCAATTTCGTTACTTGTTACTGTCCCGCAGACGCTGTTTACCCTCCACTCCGGCGGAGTGGATTTCGACCGCTTCTCTCCTTGGCTTGGTGTCCCGTGAAAGGACAGAAAAGAGAATACGAGAACGCGGAAAATGTTAGACGTTTGTGACGTAATAACAGGCCGCGCGAGGCGAAAGGAAATTATTGGAAATTTAGTTAACCGGCTGGCTTACATAACTGGCTAGCGCCTGTTCGCGGGACGTAATTCCAATCAATAAGCAAACTTGAACGTAGTGGAATCGTGGCCGAGGCTTAATCGTTGTCGCGTGACTGACTCCTCGCGAATCGAGACCGATCTTCGCCAAGCCCGTTTCGGCTTGTTAATTGTTATTCTTCTTTTTTTTTTTTTATAATTTTTTTTTTTAGAAAATTGTACTTCGCACACGCAAACGAACGTTACTTATGGCGATTTGGAAAAATATTTTTTTTATATTCTATAAATGCGGCGAAGTTTTTTTACATACTTTAGTTCATTAATTTGTATCCTCCTTTTTTTCTTTTTTTTTTTTATGGTTCTTTTTGTAGAATATAATTTTATAATTTTGTAGAAAATAATTTGTATAAATGAATGAACGTTACTTATGGCGACTTGGAAAATATTTTTTTTATATTCTATAAATGCAAGTTTTTTTTACATACTTTAGTTCATTAATTTGTATCCTCCATTTTTTCTTCTTATAGTTTTTTTTTGTAATAAGAAATTTTACTTTGTACAAATGAATATTACTTATGACGATTTCAAAAATATTTTCTATCATTCTATAAATGGGGGACTAAGTTCACAGCAAAGTTTTTTACATATTCTGATTTTTCAATATCGCGTTTAATTTTACGTACGATGATTAACTTGTATCCCTTTTTGACTCTCAGGAACCATATGATTTGATGCGATAATTCGAGAGTTGATTCTCGTATTCGAACGGCGACAATATTTATTTACGTTTAATTTTTTTAGAACATCGTCAATGGATTCCTAATTTCTTTTTTACATAAAATGTAGAATAATATATGGCTAAGATTTTCTTACCTCAAATAAAATAGAATCAGTGACAATAGAAATATTGTTCTCAAAGTTTCACAAGTTAATGTAAAACTTTGGCAATGATTAAGTTAAAGTGAAAATCAGTTTGATTTCTCGTTATCGAATAACGAAATTCTGCTTCTATTCGTAATAGAAATTGACGAGAAGAGAGATGACGAAGTAAGAGAAGAAGGAAGAATAAGAATAATAAACGGATCCACGTTACGTTAACACGAGTCAAGAAGGATTTTCCTGTCAACGAAATAACAAAGATGAAAGATGGCACGAAACAACGATATATATATAGCTCAATATTTCTTTCCTCACGCCCAAAGATACATAAAAAATAAAATCATTTTTTGAAATTAACCGTTTCAAAAAACTCGTTGCTTCGATACATACACCACGTATATATATATATATATACATATACTCGAAGTAATTCCATTTTTCCTATTATTATTATTATTATTATTCTAACTCTCGTCCATGTTATTTAACCGCGCAGAATAAAATTACGCAATATAATAAATCCGTAATCCGGCCACGCTAGATCGCGCGTGTTGTTTCACCGTGTATTGACTCACGAGCAGACGGGCCATTATTATATCTATCGCGGACGGCGCACGGTTTAACCGGTTGGCAACGAAGAGCCGTGGAGAGAAAGTCGGAGGAGAAGCAAACGGCCGCACGAGATGCGCGAGGAGCGAGCAGGACGCGATCGAGAGAGACGCGTGGCGGTCGTCCGTTGAGAAATTCGATCCAGTCCAGCGCGGAAGTCCACCAAGCTTCACAGTATAGCGCGCGGCTTAAGGCTTCTAGCTATAGGCGAGTCAATATGCCTCCTGGTATACATTGTATCGCGATTTCGAAAATCGAATACTCGCGCTTCCGCGTTAGCTGGATCGTGTTCCAACGATTCGTTTCGTGTTTCTCGCTCTCTGACCCGATCTCCCTCCCTCTCGAACGGAATTGATTTTTTTTTTTTCGAGATTTGAACATCGCTTTCCCTTTCTTAAGGGGAATAAAAAGCTTTGCTCTTCTTTATTCTATTTAGAATATATATCTATAATTGTAATTTGGTCGAACTTATAATCTCGTGCCACGATTCGTTCGAAATTAATTTCAACGTGTAAAGTACGTTGCTATTTCAAAGTTACACCTGCGATCGTGCGATGAATCCTGCGACGAGGCGAGAAATATCGATCGAAACGAAACCCGTCCCGTTAATAAATCGCTGACGTAACTTCGGGACGAAAAGGAGTTTTCTCGTTTCGAATTCGATATCCATTGGCTCGAGAGAGAGAGAGAGAGAGAAATTAATTCGGACGACTTATTTGAAAAATCAGAAGGAGGATGAGAGGCACTGGGCGAGCAAGGCTGCACAAGGGAGCTCGAAAGGTGAATGCATCCGCGCTTCCTACATTTACGCAATCGATTCCTCGAACCGTGGTTCGCACGTAGGAATGGACGCGTTCGCAGGTCTCTCTCTCTCGATATCGTGTGAACACGAAACGTGAAAATAATCGTTTCTCATGGTGCCCGCGAAACGCAACCCTCGGTCTCATTCATTCTGGGACCGGGACAATGAGCGTGAACGAAGAAGGGAATTCTTACTCGATGGTGGGTAAATGACAGTTTGAACGATCCTAGCTACGAATAAATTTATATATATATATATATATATATATATATATATATATATATATTGT